CTTTTCCGGGCCGGCCCGAAATGGTCTGATCGGCCGGGAATTGGAACATATTAACATTTTAAAATGCATCAAATAATGCACGGAGCTTGTATAAAAAAAAATCTGGGGCTACGCCCCACAAATCCCATACGGCATCCTAGCAAATATTGTGGGTTTACGTTATCTGAAATTTTTATTATATTTTCTTTATTAAACAATATTTGTTGGCATAGTTACGCTCGTCTACTTTGTATCTTGACCCTAAAGTGTTTTATTTTTATTTTACCACCTCCGCAAAACCCCAAGTTGCAACTTGCAACGCTCGGCGGAAATTTACTAGCATAAGTTGCATAATTATATTATTGACCGCTCGTTATAGATGATCTGAAAATTAATACTTTTTATTGTAACCTTCCTAACCGCCCGGGCGATATTAATCATATCATTATACGAGAACGATAAAGTATTTTTTCGCCTGACAATATTATGTATAGTCGACTAAACATATCCATTCAATTATTTTGGTATTATATACATTTTTGGAACTGTTTAACTATCTTGTATGTACAACATAATATCTCAGTGTGGTACTTACAGCTTACCATCGTGTACGTACAAGAAAGTATCTTGACACAGCATGCTATTGTGTACGTAGTAATAAGTTGTACGTACCAGAATGAGATGATATGCTGTACTTACAAGTATGATAATTTTAAATTAAATTTAAAGGTGACGCGTATGTGCCTCCTAAGTTGTACCATTTTAACCAAATAGCTTAGCAAATGTACCACTGTTGGTAATATGCACGCCCTTACATGAGTTAATCAGCGTGGACATTTCAGATATATCATTGTCTACACTAGTGAATTAGTCAACAATTATAAAACGCGAGACTATATAGCTAGTGGCCTTGGGTGTCGCACTGATTTGAACTTATCCGTTTGTTTAGCAACTTAGTGATGCCATGAGTAACTCATTAATTAAACAGCAACGATGTTATGGTGTTATTTGTTCTTTTGTACGACAAACTATTACATGAAGTACTGTACTGTAGGTACAATGTCTGAAGACTAGATATTGTGCGTCCTTTCATTTATTTTTTGACGGTGGACCTCTCGTATCCCCCTTGCGGGCGGGACGCCAAATTAGGTAATAATGAACAAGCCCCCTGTGGATTCATACATTTGTCATCACCAGGTTGCCCCTATAATAATACCATCTGACTTCTAAAACACGCTGTTGATAGAGAATTTGAACCGAAACTTTAATTTTCTTTCCAGTACACAAAAAAAGTCTTTGGGCCATACTTAAAATATGTTTTTTTCTTTTTGTTAATTAAACATAAAAACAATCCTCAGAACACGGGAAATCGCTTCTGAGACGTTCTAGAAAACACAATTTTTTTGAGGGAGATCCCCCAAACCTAAGGGAGGGGGAAGACCCCCTCCTGTAACCTCCCCCTACTCGCGCTACGCGCTCGGGGTGCTGCCGAACGTTGCCTATTGAGAAAAATTTATCGGGCCCCCCCTTTTAGGGAATCCTGGATCCGCCCCTGAATACGTTACTGAAATGGTAAATCATCTCTGAAACGGTACGTATTTTGTACAAATAAATAAGCTACTCCACTGACAGACCTCTGAGGTCTTAGGGTCAAAGGTCCAAACTCATGAATGAATTACGTTATTGAATGGCTAGATATCTTGGAAATGATAGGTATGTTGTATACACATACATTGGAATGTTGTCACAAACTTCTGAGGTCATGGGGTCAAAGGTCCCGACTGAATTACGTTACTGAAATGGCTAAATATCTTGGAAACGGTAGGTATTTTGTATACACATATACTCCTGCATACACACACACAAGCACGCATACACTACACACATGTCTGGTATAAGTGATTATAGCTTAAGTCACTTCTGTGTAATTTCCCTTGTTTCTAGGACGTCAAAGGACTTATTTTGATAATTAATTTTTAGATTATAAATTTTATTTAATATTTTAGGGGTTACAAAAATCTGGTACCAATAGACATAAATTGAAAAGGTGTAGTAAAAGGTTTCCTTATTCGATGATTTTCATAAGGAATTTATGGTTTATTGGGAACAAAAATTAGAAATTTCATAAGAGTTATTTCCCTTTGACCAATGGTCTCGGGTCCACGACTCTTTCTGATCCTTTTATTGCTAGGAGTTTGTTAATTGCTGTAATTTTGATCTTATTTTCGTTTAGTTCTTTTCTTAATTCTTTCATTTCTTCTTTATGTTTGTGACAGTGCCCAACAACATGATCTACTGTTTCGTTTTCATTACAATTTGGACAGGTTGGTTATAATTTTTATTCATAGTACTTATGTTTTCAATAAGTTTGGTTATTGTAACATCTTCACTTTTACTATGGCCATATAGTTTATTATTTTTAATTGGTTCTCTTATTATAGTACGTAATGCATTGTTTTACCCTACCTCGTTCCATGTTTTTATCTATTTATTGTATATGGCTTTGTTTATTAGAGAGTATGCCTCTTATTTAGATAAATTGACTTCACATTGAATGGTTTCTTGTTTTAGTGCCTTTTTGGCTAGTTTATCGGCTTTTTCATTTCCTGGAATGTCTACATGGGCTGGTACATATTCAAATTTTACGGGAATTCCTTGATTTTTAAGAGATTGTACTGAATTTAAAATGGAGTTAAGTACGGTAGTTCTTGTACTGTTTTTGGTTTCTGTCGTTTGTAGTGAGGATAGACTGTCTGTGAGAATTACGGCCCTTTGTTCAGGTTTTTCTTGGTCAATAATTCTAAGTGCTAGACCTATGGCTATTAATTCGCTTGTATATATAGAACAGTTATCTGTTAGTCTTACGGATATTGCTATATCATTTTCTGATGAATAAATCCCTAGTCCTACTCTATCCTTAGCTGCTATTGGGTTTTCTTTTTTGTTTGTCGCTTTAAAAATATCTGTGCTAAACTCTGGCTGTCCTCGTAACCATGGTGGTGTTGGGTTAGGGGATACTTCTTCGATTTGAATAGTGTCTAATTTGTGTTCTTTCATTAAATTATTAGTCATGTGACTTAATGGTGTTTTTTATGACCATATAATTTATTTCTAACTTTTGGTGTCCTTGGCGTCTCGTACTATTTGATTGTATGGGCGGTAAGTCTGATCCTAATATTTGGGTTCTAGCCCAATACTTGAGAATTAATTTTTCTCTTCTTAACTTTAGTGGTAATTCACCGCTTTCTGCTAGTATACTAATTGATGGAGTATTTTTAATTGTTCCCAGTGCTATTCTAAACCTTTATGCTGGATTATGTGTAGGGTTTTCAGTGCATTATCGGATGCTTAATTATATATTTGGCATCTCCAATCTATTTTTGACCTAATTAAAGTTTTAGAGAGCGTGAGGAGTGTATTTTTATTTGATCCTTATTTATTCCCGGAAACGAATATTAGTGTGTTAAGTGCCCTTTTACAGTTTTCTTTTATATTATTAGGTATCTCGTTTGTTTTACATATTGTATTTTTGTGTTACCTAGATAGAGATCTGGTTGTTTATTTCTTCTAGATAATGGCATGGCTACCGTTTTTTCTTTAGATATTTTGAAGCCCCATTTATCAGCCCATTCTTGTATGGAATCTAGTGTTCTCTGAATTATTCTACCATTATCTGTTATATTTAAACCGCTTTAATGCACGCGCGTTTTGGCCGGCTTATATACCCATAGGCGCCGCTCTACCTGTCAATCACCCGGAGATTGTCCGCATCACCTATGTGTTTTGACATGGGCTAGGTCAAGGCCAGCTCTACTCAAACAGCTAGCCCGGTACGTTTTCGTCACAGAAATACAAATCTTCTAAGGTTATCTAAGGTTAGGCCTTTATCCATTGGTAAAGTTTTCTCTCATTTATTTGATAAACGTTATAGTATTTCCAGTAAGAATTCGCTAAAATGCTCTTAACGGTACCCATTAACTAGCACAAAGGTTAAATTGCAAAATCCAAAAATGAATCATTATCTTCTGATTTCCCAAACACGACTACTTGCATTCTAATACCGTGTTCAGCGTTTGGTGTGTAGCTTAGTACAAAAGTAGCTGGCCAGCGGTTACACGTTTCCGATTTATAGACAAAATATTAACAACAACCCCTCGAGGGAAACGTATTAGAGGAATCTTGTAAATTGCTACATGTCGATTTGTTCTGCTCATTTGTGTGCCTTGCTGTCTTGTTGTCATTACGCCAAGTATTCGTCACGAGACAGGGATATACTTTTGAACAACAATAAAAAACCATAGAACACTAAGTAATACAAACAAACTTCAAGGTCAGAAACACGTGTCAAATTTCTGATAATTCCAGGAGCTAAAATCGTTAGAACATTACCTTTGTATTCCCATAGTTCTTTTAGAACATTATATCAGCTTCATCATTTTTCATTGCCAACATTTTCGTTCTCTTCACCAAATCTTTTAAAAAGAGAAGGAAAAAGTGTCAAATGAAAAATAACATGACAATTTCTTTCATAGCTTTTTATTACATTGTATATGAAATAGTCCAAGAACGTTGTCTAATTAGTTGTATTACATGACATTGCCTAATTAGTTGTATTACATGACATTGTCTAATAGTTGTATTACGTGACATTGCCTAATTAGTTGTATTACATGACATTGTCTAATTAGTTGTATTGCATGACATTGCCTAATTAGTTGTATTACATGACATTGTCTAATTAGTTGTATTACATGACATTGTCTCATAAGTTGTATTACATGACATTGTCTAATTAGTTGTATTACATGACATTGTCTAATTAGTTGTATTACATGACATTGTCTAATTAGTTGTATTACACGACATTGCCTAATTAGTTGTATTACATGACATTGTCTAATTAGTTGTATTACATGACATTGTCTAATTGGTTGTATTTCAGTTAATATTACTGTCGGAGATTGGTGTATAGCAGGAACAGTATTTTTTTTCTCCAATAATAACTAAAACTAAAATAATAGAAGAATTAAAAAATATATAATATATGAACTGCTCGTGCTCTATGCTGTATCGGATATAAAGATACATTTAAATTCACGTTTTTTGTGTGACAATGGTCAACCTGCAAGACGGACAAAGACATATACAGAAACTATAACCAGTGCAGACACAAACAGAATAGCTGTTGTTCTTTCTACCACTACGGCCACAGTCTTCCACTCTTCAGTTAAGGTTGGTGGTGCCATTGTGTTGTGTTGAGATTCACCTGAGAGGCGATGTTGAACGGTGGCATGGTTGTTTCCAATGGTATTTTTTATGGCAGTATGGTTGTTTTTGCTATCGCAGGTGCCTGTTGCCTTGTTTGAAATCCCGGATTTCTCCTGAAAAATGAAATTAGTGCATTAAAATGAACAATTGACTATCTACATGTATTGACTTACGGTAGCATCTGACATACCTATACTGATCTCGTCGTAGGTTGTAACTGACGATTGTACTGCTGTTAACCCCTTTGAAGTATCACATTCAGTACCATTGGATATCTATTTAAAATCAATTGAAGATTTTGATGTTAAGAATTCAAATTCGTCGGTTGAAACGCTTCCTCTAAGTTGATCTAATCAAAGATAGCTATCAGCCATACTGTGTGTCATTTACGTTAGGTGATATAGGAAGTATCAATACGCCCAAGCATTAGTGTTATAACAAATGTGTGAATTACCACCTTCGTTTGCGCAATCATTCATGCATGCATCTTCTATCAAATCAACGCCAACGAGATCAAACTTAGTATGCTAGTTAAATATAAACAAGCAAATTCGTGGAATTTATATCCCCCACTTTCAGGACACATTGTAGGTAAACTTGATTGAGGTTAGGTTTAAACATGTGAGTATCGTGCTGTTGAGACATATAGCTTGAAACTCGAAGAAAAATAGCCTTATCTAATATTTGCTATAGTTATTAATGCGTTGAACTCTGTTACTAAGTTTGACAATCTGATTAAAATCATATGTTACATGGCTTCGTTAACTTCGTACTACGCCTGAACAGGCGAAGCCATGTAACAGATGATTTTAATCAGATTGTAAATTTGAAGACAATCGGATAATATTTGCGAGANGTGGAAACCAGGGCAGTACGTGAACATGAGTGAGACGGTACAAATATAATTTACCTATATACATTTTAGACATTAAACCAACAATGAAACGACGTACCAAGTCACGTGTCTGAGTGACGCAGACGATTCTGCCAAGGTAGCCCAGGAACAACCTCCGAACCCACACTGGTAACTCCTTCTCCCCCTTGTAATGGATATTGAGAACAACTATGGTCATTAAACAGACGAACGATACTAGTCCCTCTGAGATGGCGAAGTATCCCGCTTCAAAATAAAAATCAACACATAAATACGTAGTCGGTTTAGGCATTAAGGATCTAGACATCACCAAATTATTAAAATTAAAAAAACAACATAGTATCACTTTCGTGATGATAACATTCAGATTTTGTGAGTTTGCGAGTAGACAACAATATCAAAGTTTACTATGAAAATAAAGTAAGCATAGAAATTTAATGTAGCAATGTAATGCTCAATGCAATGGAGGTATACACTTCCATGGAATTTAAGTTACAAATCGTGGAATGGAATAACCAAGAAAATCGAATGCATTGTACAAATAGAATGAAAGTTTATAATTAATGGAATATAGCGTGACATCCTGTGGGATGCAATATAATAATCAATTCGGTAGACTATTCAACAGAGTGTGATTTATAATCTATGTTCCGCCTACCAGTCACCTAACAGTCACCAGTGACCTACCAGTCACCAGTGACCTACCAGTCACCTACAGTCACCTACAGTCACCAGTCACCTACAGTTACCAGTCACCTACCAGTCACCTACAGTCACCAGTCACCAACCAGTCCCCCACCAGTCACCAGTCACATACCAGTCACCAGTCACATATCAGTCACCAGTCACCAACCAGTCACCTACCAGTCACCAGTCACATACCAGTCACCAGTCACATATCAGTCACCAGTCACCTACCAGTCACCTACCAGTCACCTACAGTCACCAGTCACCAACCAGTCCCCCACCAGTCACCAGTCACATACCAGTCACCAGTCACATATCAGTCACCAGTCACCAACCAGTCACCTACCAGTCACCAGTCACATACCAGTCACCAGTCACCTACCAGTCACCTATCAGTCACCAGTCACCTACAGTCACCAGTCACCAACCAGTCACCAGTCACCTACCAGTCACCTACAGTCACCTATCAGTCACCTACAGTCACCTACCAGTCACCTACAGTCACCAGTCACCTACCAGTCACCTACAGTCACCTATCAGTCACCTACAGTCACCTACCAGTCACCTATCAGTCACCAGTCACCTACCAGTCACCTACCAGTCACCAGTCACCTACCAGTAGACTTATCATGGCTTGTCATTAAGGTTATATCCGTGACGGAAATAAGAACGATTTGAAAATGTTCGCACTGGAATTGTTCTTTCTCAAAATAGAATGTCGGCAAATGTTAAAGGCAGGTGACAACATCAGTCGGAACTTCCATTCTCCTCGTCAAAGATTAAGTCTACTAAGGTGATTGCGGAATGGAATATAATTGCTTTTTACTACGAAGTTATAAGTCTGCGTCTGCTCTGATCATCTACTTGTAGGACATATATCGCTATAACTGACAGTTTATTTCGATTGGTGATGTCCTTAAAGATTAACTCATTACAAGTGTTTACAGAAAATAAGAAGATATGGAAATTCACTGGACCAAGATATAATGACACAGAAAAGTTCAACTCCTTTTTATATGATGATTTCATACAAATAATGAAACTGATCAGAGGATCATTACGTAAGACATACAAAACAAACACACTGGGTTGAAATACGGAAAACACATTTATGTTTTGAATTTGAAACACTCGAATGGAATGTCAAATTAGCTCAAGTCTTTGGATTATAGGCAATGACGTACCGCCTGTTGAACACAGCGCCGACACAAGGATAAGATCTGTGTCTTTGATAGTAACAGAGATTGAGTGAAGGAATGGGTTTTTGTAATTGTTCATATCTAGGCCATCCTCGATACTCCAGGGGTTACGCTCACTCTCACTCTGCATCCCTGGAATATGTCAAAGCATTGAAGGCTCAGTGTTGGCCACCTTGTTGATGAGACAAGAAGACTAGTTCGATCTTTTGATGTACATCAAATCTCGCGGTCACGTAACGGTAAAATGTGACAGGCTTTGAAGTCGGATGCCGCTCTTTTGTTATCTTCAAAGGGCAGGTATCAACCTAGCGATTGGTTAGGTTTCTTTACCTGAGACCAAGCTATATCCGTGCCTTCATTTTGCTATGGCAGAGAGCGAAGGTGAGAGTAACCCCTGGAATATCGTTGATACACTTTAAGTCTCCTCTGATGGAGCAGTTTGTTCGCTTACTTGCCTATCACAGGGACTGTCTTCGTTGAATGAAGCCGTATATATGCCAATGTACTTATCAGAGGGTCAGTCTGCTTAAAGAAGCACTACGTCTGCTATCTTACCTATTAGAGGGACAGTCTCTGCTGAAGGTGGCAAGTTGTCCGCTAACATAAGCTGAAAGACAGCCAATGCAAGCAACAGACTGACGGCGAACGACAGCTTTTCTCCCGACTCCACCGGTACAATGAGTACACTTATGGTGAGGGTCATGACAAACATAGACGGCAAGATCAGGTTGATTACATAAAAATTGGGTTTCCTCTTCATATGAATCTTATAACATACAGACGGGAAAGGATGCTCACAGCAGTCAAATGTTTGCTCATGCCGCGTTGCAGTAAAGTTCTCAACTGTCCATTCTACATTGGGAACTAAGGTGTTCAAATCGCCTGTTGATCTCTTAGAATGAAGATCCATATCTAAATCGTTATATGCCCAGGAACCAAAGGTCAAGGAACACATCTGTTCATCGAACGGAAATGACGTAACATCCACAGTACATCTACTGGTGATTACTGCCTGGAAGTTGAAGATCACACTTCCGGTGGAATTTATGGATACATGGAAGTCTCGTTCTCGTCGGATGTCATCTGACACACTGAAATACGACACAGCAATACTTCGTGACGGAGACTCAGAATTGATGTTTATAAAGGCAAAATAAATAAAACAGTTAGATAGATATAAAAAGAGGCCCATGGGCCTTAACGGTCACCTGATTTCTGATATATTTATACAGAGAGTGAATTTTTGTTTTTAAAACATGAACAGAAATATTATTCAAAGTGACAAAAAACAATAAAACCACCTTATTCAATATCTAGCATACAGATTAAAGACTGAAAAGTATTTGAAACTAGCACCTCTGATTCTATACAAGGAAAATGAAGAAATTTTAGCGCACTGACTCCTTTTGTTCCCGCCCTACAGCCCTTGGGAGTAGGGCTGGCTCAAAATTTTCAAAGTATCAAACTGTCAACACAGGGTAATAATTCATCAAGTTATCAACATGCAATATCCAAAGTATCATTTGCCAATGTAAACCATAATACATTTTGCAAACCCCCCTCCCCCCAGGGGGGAAACGTGAGACCCCATGGTTATAAAATTCACGATTTTGGTAAAGCACCTTTAGCCCCCTCCATCTATGAAGAGTATATGATTCTACCATATCTGAGTCTTGAGAAGAAGAGTTTTGAAATTTCAGTCAATTTGACCCTTTTGGGCCCCACCCATCAGCCCCTGGGGGTCAGTCAGGGCTGTATGTGCATACCATCAAACTGCTATCCAAAACTGATAATGCTAACCAAGTTTGAATTAGTTCCAATAGAAATTTAACAAATGCTGGTCCAAATGTGATTTCCCTATATAAACTATAGTAAAGTTTACCCCCTCCCCAGGGAGAAACGTGAGAACCCATGGTCATAAAATTCACAATTTTGGTAAAGCACCTTTAGCCCCCTCCATCTATGAAGTGTATATGATTCTACCATATCTGAGTCTTGAGAAGAAGCTTTTTGAAATTTCAGTCAATTCAACCCTTTTGGGCCCCACCCATCAGTCACTGGGGGTCAGTCAGGGCTGTATGTGCATACCATCAAACTGCATTCCAATACTGATAATGCTAACCAAGTTTAAACTAATTCCAATAGAAATTTAACAAATGCTGGTCCAAAATGTGATTTCCCTATATAAACTATAGTAAAGTTTACCCCCTACACAGGGGAAACGTGAGACCCCACGGTCATGAAATTCACAATTTTGGTAAAGCACCTTAAGACCCTTTCCTCTATGAAGAGTATTTGATTCTACCATATTTGGGTCTTGAGAAGAAGAATTTTGAAATTTCAGTCAATTCAACCCTTTTTGGCCTACTCATTAGCCCCTGGGGGTCAGTCAGGGCTGATTTGTGCATATCATCAAACTGCTATCCAAAACTGATAATGCTAACCAAGTTTGAATTAATTCCAATAAAAATTAAACAAATGCTGGTCCAAAACCTTGAATATGCCGGGAGGAACCGCAGCCATGTAGTATTAATCCTTTTAATGATACTTCATATTTCGTCTTTTTTGTTTACTTCCGGATGAAAAAGATATTTCACGTGCATTTATTTTTGTTCTGTCATACATTTATGAAATAATTCTTGGGTCTAAATTAACAAACATGATTTACTTCGTTAATGTTCAAAAGCCCTCTAAAAGATGTAATAGTCACCATAAATTTCAACCCCCTGGTAAGTCAAAATCAATGCCTCTCTTTAAACACGAGCCCAGAGGGCCTGTATCGCTGACTTAGATAATAAAGCAACCATGGAAAATTATTCTTATTACATGTAATACTGCAACTATTTCCAAATATTGACTCTGTCTCTCAGCAACACCCGTCCCTCACCAGGTCTTTCTTTCTGCACCCATGAATTGGGATGGATTTAAAACATTAGCCTCTATTACCCCATTGGGCCCCGCCCCGCAACTGCCTAAAAGCCCCCCTCCNCACAAAATTTATTTAGAAACCCTGCAATCAAACTGAGAGAGAAGGATTTTAAAGATTTACCCGAAATACCTTTATTGGACCCCATCCCTCTGCCCAAAAATGGGCCACATCCTTAGATTATATAAAATTGAGACCCCTTTGCCCAAGGCTGCTCTACACAACAGTTATTTTAATTCCCTCAGATAATCTGTAAGTACCTGTCATACACTTCGATGTCTGGGGTCCATACCGAGCTCTCCGGTACCACACGTGTCGTCGGGCCGTCGTCGTGTTCAGTCTCATTCAACACCAGTCGACAGTCGTGCCAGCTCTACAACGGACGGTGTGACATACTGTTTAATCACTTTCTTAGTCAGAGGTAATAACACTCAAGAATAAATGACCATGTTTTCTTTGTAAGGAATATGTTTTCTGCTTACGTTCATCTTTCTACTTAGTTCAAGTGTGTAACAGGCAACATTGAAACCTATGATGTATTTTACTTCCTCCCAGTATGTAACAGACAAGAAAACAATTTATTGTGTGGTTTAATAGTTCCAGTAGCAACAGACAATACACAAACATTGTTTATTTCACCGAGTGCGAGAATATATATACTGTTACGTATTTAAAAAAGTCCTGGTACACGTACAGCGGATGGAAATACAAACCATATTTTAAAAGTCCATATAGCACTAGTGTACCTGACATATATACATACACTGTTTAAAAGTACAAACTTATCAATCTGTTTTGTGTAGAAAAGAGAAATTTTCGACTTACAAGTCGAATCCAAACGCTGATTTTTAGAAGTTGGACTGGTTCATCCTGAAAAATGCAAAGGGAAATGAATAAAAATCAAATTGAAAATATTTTATTTTTAAACATACATATTATCACACTTAAGTATGGTAACTGTCCATAGTTCTAGTGCGTTATAAGATATCTCGAGTGTGTTATCTTATTGCTTCCTCCTCAAACTAACCCTAAGGTAAATCATTTCATAATTAAATAATGTGCGATTGCTACATATCCGTTAGTTTAAAAATACAACATACGATACACCATGTTTTATTACATTTTTTTTCTTTTGCGATGAGTACCGCTTGTTTGCTTGTAGTTGACAAGTCCCGTCTTTATCGTGGATCATACAGTTGCTGTAACCCATAATCCCTTAGTCCAGGATGCGTCTCTGCCTTAATTTGTGCCAAGGGTCATGCAAATCACACGGCCCAACTGACAGTTTGTAAACGGTTAACTAATCATATCACATGATTTAGCAAAATGTCAAAAGGAAATTGATCATTTATTACACCGTCAAACTGTCGTCAGGCTTATTTATATAAGACTATCCCACTAAACAATGACTTTCAACAATGTCACATTTCTATTGGCAGTCTGTATCGTCACTGCGTTTAGCACATATATCTAACTGTCTACGATCGGTGTGAGACCTACGCGGAGCAGTCGCCAGGTACATGTTATTATCTGTTCATAGTCGCCGAGCTTGTGTGATGAGTAGATAAAACAGCGCTATGAGTTGTTGTTTAGGGTATCTCTGTTGTTACTTCCACTTTCCTGTTCCTAGGATGAAAGGCAAAATATAACAAGACCGTTCTGACTGGAATGGTGTTTACTTAGATGAATATTTCGGATAGGTAGTAGTTCAATTTACTGTGTAAAACACGCCAAGTAAAAACTGAAATAGTTCCTATGAATCATTTTACCTTAAACAAAAGAAGCGAAAACCCCAATTTGGGTGACCATATATGTTTTAGGGGTATTGTTGAGTCTCAAATGGTTAACGTACTATTTTAGACATTTTCAACACTCTCAATATGTTAATTATTTACAGTTTATTATGGGTAGCAAATAGTCTCCTTAGTTATTTTGAGTTGACTAAAACATAAACCATCGTCATGAAATTCCTCGAAATTCCCAGATTTGTATAGCAATATTTGAATAGTTTGCCAGACATGAAAGCATCCATTATCGGCAAATATTTGTAATGGTGTATGTGCCAAAATGGGTACCTTCGTCTGTTTTACGATAAAACTAATTGTGAAAAATATCTGGTGAATGTTTATGGGCGGATTGGTCGAGTGGTTAACACTCCGACCCTCCACGCAGACGGCCGGAGTTCGATCACCGAAGTCGTCGTACGCATGGAATGTTCAGAGAAAGTGTTTTCTGCTGCCCACACAACTCCAACAACCCAGGTGGAGTATAAAATGGTATGGGGTGAATGTTGCGGTATCTTTGCTGTTGCATTCAAGTGAGGTGGAACTATAAATGATACCGTTGAAAGCACGGTCCCACTACAAACAAAACACAATACATCTCCAGCACACACGCAGGCATACACACACAGGGAGATATTAGCCAGGCTAGGACTAGTAATTAGCGCCTGATAGGGCAGCTCTTGCGAATTCCTCAAAAATTGTATTGATTAATGAACATGCTAATTTTACTGATTGTATGAATTGTAAAGCGCTTTAGAGTGGCTTATTCTAGCTAGATAGGGCGCTATATCAAATGTTGTATATTTATGTATTTATAGATGTAAATATGGAGAGAAACGCAGTATTGAACGCTAGGAGCGCTTTGGTGATGTAACAATTAATAGAGTTTTTACAATAATCCTAGTACGAGTTATTCAAACACTCGTTTTGTACTAGATGGAAGCGTGCAGAGAATCCGTATGTGGGAGGAAACAAGAGCACACGGAAAAACCACTACATGGTCGGGAAGGTGACCCAATACGTTTTTAATGTCTGATCGTAGAAATGAACCCCTTGGTGAAAAGCGACACTGTGATGACCGACCACGTGATCATGTTAAAGAAGTTTAAAATTTAGATCTGAAGTAAAAAATGCACGGCTAAAAAATGCTGGGAAGAGCCCCGAATAGGATTTTCGAAACGCAGTTCGACTGGCGTCTAACCTTACCAGGTCTATGAGTTGTCGTAGTCCCAAGTCCATAATGACGTTTACAGGAGTGTCTGGACCGTCACACACAGGCCGGACCAATGGCGATGATATGTATTCCTGTATCTTCGCTATCTCTTCTGTACCCTGGGTCAGCCCTGCAGTGTAAAACAGGGATAAGATTAAAGTTATTTTATCTTTTTAACGATTATAGCTGAACATACATAACGAAATGGCACTGACAAAAAGTTCATTGAATGAGTCCCGATCAGGCTCTGCTAGAGAATCTCTCAAAAGTTTGAAATATTTCTTCTGTATTTATACAATGAAAATGATAAAGTATTGGCGTTAATTTCTAAGGGAGTCAGAAAAATTCAATTATACCCAGCAGTGATGATGATGCAGTAGAAATATTAACTAAACCAATATGATGGTCAAAAGCACAAATGACAGCATTCTGCTTTATAAACAAGAGGTTCGGGAATCAAATCCCTTTTACGGAGATGTTCTTGTTAAAAAAATTTGTCGTGAATACATTTTATTCTTATATATCTCCTTGTCAAAGAAAATGAGAATATCAACAACAAAAAAAAAAAAGGCCAAACAAGTTGTACTTATCTTTCTGTTTAGATGCTACATGAAAAGAGACCCGTGTTACATGTGCTGGAACACTAGTTTGAATTATGTATACATGGTTTTATTCGGAAAACCATTGACGATCATTACGATGATCTTATTTCCAATTCAATGTGATATCGGTTTCTGAAATGAATCTGATCAAAGTCATTGTTTCTTAGAAACGCTTACACTTCCGGAACACATGGTTCTACATCCGGTCTGCAAACTTGCTGAATTTAATCTGCTGAATCGGCAACTACCACTGTAAAATGCCATCAATGGAAATACACAAATATGCTTTCTATAATTTTGGGTATCGGAATGTGATATCGAAAAATGCTTCGTCAATTATGTAAAAATATAAATCCTTAATTACTATTACCGATTCATTTACAGCAATTTGAAAAACGAATTACGTTTTTCGTAAACTGTAAGATTGAAAGAACTAAAATATACACTTTATAATTAATATAATTCAATCAAATCATTACTTTCTACTTTTACATTACAAGTTATACGTTCAGTCTATGAACCAAATCAAATCATAATCATATACATTTGAAACATTTGTAAGATAAATGATAGATCTTTAATCTGCGTGAAGACTAATCTTCAAGGTGCAGTACGTTCATCCTTCATGCAACAATTATAAATATCAAAAAAATGTTTTTGAAAGGTGGTTAAGCCTAAACGTTATATTTTTACTATTCTCACACTATCGCCGTAGGATACTCTATCAAATATACTGGTCACGTAAACCTACATACATGACAACTTAAATCTACAACTACAGCTACAATCCTCAACATTATATACAATACACCTTCAGTCGTATAACTATAGAAGGAATTTGACGGTATGTTACAGAAAGCTGAAATGAAATCTGCCTACCTGCCAGTGCTACCAGACATATAAAGACATTGGTTTGCGAGTCCATTGTTAGGTGTTGTCTTCTTACACGATGTGTTCGATGTATAAGTAAAGTTAGCCCATTTCCGTAGCCCGGACACAGTAAATGACGTAATTGTTTTATAGTGTGAGTACACACAGACACACATGTATACAATGTATAGGCCTATGTTTATATATATATATATATATGTTAGGAGAAATATTAGCGGCATCGCGGACTATGAGCTTCGCCAAAGTTTCGTGGCAAGTTTACCCCTTTCTATGCAAAGACTCAAACATGAAATGAAACTAAAAACATAAAACAACATATTTATTCTGTGTTTAAACTTTTATTTATTAAGAGGTATTATATACAATGTTTCTAGAACTTGGACCCGTTAGCATCAAATCTTATCAGTTAAGTGCAGCCTGTTGTGAGTAATCAGGAAATCCTGGTCGGTGTGAAGTATGAAGTATAATTGCCTATTAAGTACATATTGTGAAAAAACCCATGCACGCTCCATCACGGGCACAGAAGACGCAAGAACAACTTTATAGGAAACAGTTGGCGGAAACCAAGAAAAAATAACAAAGCAATCAATTATAAAATCGATCAACATAACTGAAAAGGAGGATTTTCTAACCATTTCGAATTCGTGAAGAAAAGAGAAGCTATTAAGCTTCAAAGCAAAGAACTTGTAACTTGCACCGATCCAGAATATTTAACGTAAACATTAGTAGTAGGACATAACATAGACTTAATCACTTATATGATATTTCCTTAAAATCGGTTTTTACTGAGTTCAAGAGCTGAATTCGTGGTAAACTCGACCTTCATTGGTTCCATTCCGAAATACTATTAACGATGCAGATCTGTTAACATGTTACGAAGCACACCTATACTCCAAACTCACTACAGAGTTAGGACTGAAGGCTGTCAAACATTTAGTCGAAAGCATTCGTACAAAATTAACAATCGTTTTGAAAGTGAGTATCTAACGGACGCCATATCAGTAATGCTTCAGAGCGATACATTCTCTTTTGCGGATAAAACATCGTAACAATGAGAAAGACAGCAACTTAATCTATGCTTCACTTCGATGCTTGGTGGATACCATATTACAGGATAAAGAACTTTGAAATTAAGAATTCATGTAAGTTTAGATTAATAAAAACTGGAAATAATTTCTAGACAATTGTTGTGTGATTTATAAAGAAAAATAAGAAATTCAAATGAACAGAATTAACGATATACAATAGAAATTAATGGTAATGAAATCCCATTTAGATATAAACACATGTATATCACAATAAAATCCATATTAAACATTTACCTTCAGACATCAATAAATATCCGCATGGCATATCTTGTAATTCTGACCACACTAAACGGGAACGCCTTTACAACTTTTTTTGTCCAAATATTGTATTCCCTCCCACCAAAAAATATGTATATATTATATACTGATAAGTATATAATATATATCTATATATAATTTAATGGGATTTGCCAGGGTTGGGGGAGCCCTGGAGTCAGTCCAATAAACAATATGGTGTCCTAACACAGGAGGGCTTTCATTCATAAGGAACGCGTGAGCGATACATGTCGGAGTGAACACCGGACGTTTTTTTAATACTTTTACAATACCTTTTTTTTTAAAATAAAGGTGTACAGAATAAAAATGCAGTTGCGCTGGACAGCACAGTATTACTACAACCAAGAGGTTATTTAGAAGAAAAAGGCAAACAATTAACACATATTGCGCAAGTAAAAAGAAACCAGTATGATTATAATTTCCAGAAGTAATCTTTTGGGTTCGAACCTAAACTGGCTAACTTGTTACATGTATATATCACGCTGAATTGGTTTTAAGATAATCTTGACATTTCCAATATATCTACATATGACCCATTTATGAATATTCTTCTCTCATTTCGAGATCAAGCATAGTTCAGAGGTTGCTCAAACGATTCAGTATGTACTGTGAATATGTAACATAACACGGGTTTATTTTTGACAGATGTGGTATTTACGGCCCAGGAGACATAAGCATACGATATTGTTTCAAGGGGGAGAGAAATTAAGCGAAATCACGACTTTAAATGGCATTAAAATAATAAACTTCCAATGGTGTGATGTGCCTATATTCAAGAAACGTAATTGCGTAACTCAGTTTATGAAATGATCAATCAGATAGGGTGTATCATACCATATACAAACTTCACGTTTGGATTGTTTACCTGATGTAACAGTGCCTAGAACGTTACTCACAATACAGTCTCTATTGGAAAACAGGAAGTTTTGGTCTGATCTGATAGAAACTGTTAATATGTAAACTATTAATGATGTGATATGTATAAAAGTACAAGCAATCTTTAGATAAGTTCAAAGCAGAGGTGTGTTAATTGTCATGTAAACATGTGAAATACATTACATTTAGGAAAATAGCTAGCAGGGAGCAACTGTCAAAATACACAGGTATTATATCAGCCACCATATTGGGCAGTGACCAATCGTGATTGTCCGCAATGATGTTTCTATGTGATGTTTTAATTAAGGTAAATAGGCATTAAAAACTATTTGTGATGTTTATATAGGCTTTCACGAACAGCTATGGTTGTATATTTTCTCACTACCTTTATTCACATTCGTTTTTTTATTTATTCACTTTAACTCAAATCTACAAGATGTTTTTTTTTACCATATTTAGCCTTCGGTTACAAGTATACCGAATGGATATACGATAATATAAGCATATTTTATAAGCGATAACTATTGATGCTGAACAATCATACAACACCAACGTTATATCATTGCCCATCCTCAATTATAAGCAGAAAGCAGTTGTCATTCATTTAACAAATATAGCAACTGTTTCTGTGAATGTTATCGCAGAAGCATCTCAAAGCATCTACAGGAGGTATAAGTAGGTAGGTGTTAGAAGATCAAACCTCTGCCAGTCAAACCAAAAAGGGGCGTCTGTTCGTTTGGACACATGATGAGCTGGATATAAAAGAAAGCTGCATAGGTTTCCTTCTCATTCAAAGATATGATGTTGGCCAAACACCGAATAATGCTCCTAGGAGCTGAAAGTGTTGGAAAATCAGCTATCATGAAGCAATTCATCAACGAAGCCTTTACAGACAACAACACACAGACTGTGGCAGATTGTTACCAACATGTTATCAAACTTCCAAGTAAGTTGTCTTTATATTTGTAGGCATACTAAAGGGACGATTGTCCCATAAAATGTGCACTTACAAACTTCCAAGTAAATAAAATAATATGTAGCATGATGCAAACGAAGCATTGTTATCATTATATAACATTTTAATTTTCAGGTGGATTGTATCGACACATTCAAATCTTGGATACAGGAAGTTTAAATCAATTTCCAGCTATGCGTGATTTGAGTATCCGATTGGGACATGCGTTTGCTGTAGTATATGCTGTGGACGATTACGATTCATTCAACACTGCTATCGACATGTGTAACCATATATATCAAATCAAAGGTAAATACAAATATGTATATCTTGTTGTTATGATGCATCAATCTATATTTACTTCCTTATTTTAGTTACGAATGTAAGACTTTTTTTCTGAAAGGTTATTGAAATCATTTTAAAAATTCATGTGGAGGGAATCAAAATAATAATCGTCATAGAATATAGTAACAAAATATTCATAACTTTCATCTTAATTAAAATCTTAAATTTAATTTATATAAACGTGACGTTAAGCTTGCAACTTTTGAAACTTATGGGTCCAGACGGTATTAAGATAATGCCTGTCTAAACTGTTTCTAATATGAACTGCCATTTGATTTGATAACTTATAATTACTAGGTTATTATTGTTTTTGGTTTAAATTTGTTTGTTTGCGCCTGACATTGATAAAATGATACATTTATTTGATATTCTATAAAAGCAGATATAAATGAATCTGAATATAGTGATTGTTACGTGAATGTGTTGCCGTAATTATTTGTTTGTAGTTGAAATGATTGCATCAGTACTTCGATATGTCACGTAACACTTATTATCACTATTGATATGAATAAGTAAAGGTCAGAAAACTGTTACTTATGAAGTTTGTCACTGGTCTATAAGAAGGATAGGGATTATACGGACGCGACTGGAAACTACACTGTTTATAGTTATAACTGATCTCCTATCTATCTCTAGCTATATGTTATACTCCACAGAGACCAACATGGCTTAAATGCGAAGGATTGCATTTATTACTTTTATTACATGATTTTAACACAATTATAACTTAACCTTTCAGGAACACGCAATGTGCGGATTGTTTTGGTTGGAAACAAACTGGACGCAACAGGATGTGGCCGGCTAATTTCCACAGAATGCGGCTTGAAACTTGCTTCCAGATCTCTCAAATGTGCATTTGTAGAAACAAGTGCAAAACTCAAGCTTAACGTGTCGTGTTTATTCCAAACATTGCTGCCCGAGGAATAACACATTGCATCAAATGCGTCAAATCAAACTGAATCGAAACAAACCGACACAAAAAAGCAGGATGCATCCCACACTAAAACACCATCACAGTGTCGGTTTCCGTGACAAATGCCAATGACATAAATAGTAAATGTATTATGTATATTACATTATTTTACACTGATGATTTGTTGACAATAAATATAGTATCCATATTAACGAGGTTGTTACATCATACTTATTATTAACTCGGTGTATATGAATTAATTCATTGTGTAAACATATAACTGTTAATACATTTCTACTAACATTCATCATATCTACATGTGATTATTGTATAAACATGCAATTATACATAAATGCAATTTCAATATATATATATATTGTAATGCTTTCTCGTGGTAAACGTAGTCAAACTGTTTGTCCCTTCCTTGCCTTCGGTTTTGCACTGTATAACAAGAGATTCACTACCAGCTCGAGGGGTCAAACATTTTTATTATACTAATGGAAGATATTTGTCATTAAAAGATTATACAAACTGTATAAGACAAGTAGTCATTCCAACCTTGAGAGTCACAAAGAACTGTTTTGACTGGTGTAGCAGTTCATAATATACATATT